CACACCTCATGCACCCTACTGCCACCTCCCACGCAAGTGGGAAGTCCGCATCGCGACTCGGTCCCCATGCGGCTTCGGCTCCACGGGTGACTTGAGTCCGAGACTATCCCGACACGTCAAGCGTCGTGGATAGGAAGGTTGCTGATTGAGGCCCGCTCTCGGTTCACGCAGTTCGTCGCGTTGTGTGTGTTGTGTGGAGTGGCGGGCTGGTGGGCTGGGGACGGGCTGAAACAGCACCTTCCACGGCACTCTCACGCAAGTGAGAGACACGCCGTTCAACCCCCGTTGTGTGAAATCCTGGTGTTTGTGTGTGTATGGGGGGTCAGGTCGTGCCGTGGCGCGCGCAGTCATGGTCAGTAAGCGCCATTTATATGAACCAGAAACACTGAAAGTACTCGTGGTACTGTAACGTCCGTTGAACTATACACCGCGGTTACCATACCGTATTTCCCGCTCTACGTTGGCATTTCCACGGCCCTATCCCGCATTTGCCGACAACGGTGCATTCCCCATTGCACATCTAGTTGATATGTTGCTGAGAAGCTCATTCCCCTTTGATTCGTTTCACATGTTCTGATATGTCGATGCCGCTGTTCTTAGTATACATATTTCGTGCTATTGGACCTTTCCTATTCTCAGTGTGGATGAGGTCGATGACCCCTTTAACAACTACCTTTAGATCAGTGTCGATCAGGAGTTATAAAAATTGCTCCGCGTAACCCCCAGTATGCTTACCTCAACGTCTTCAGCCGCTGCAGCATAAACTGTCCAATCACCAAGCAAGTTTTGGCGACCGACGGGAAGCGCGTAGGCACACCGACCTTACACGCTTTCCCCCGCAATTAAGTCAGGTGTGCGGCAGCATGTCTAGCACAAAAATGAAAAATGCTGTCAATTAAAACAAACCCTACTAAACGTTTTACTGCACAAGTGTTCGAGTACGAGAGTCCCGTTCTGGCAACAGAATGGCGGGGTGAGACGGAGGTTGAGACTAAATCGTTCAGGTTCCTCTCACGGTAAGTTATCGGCGTTACTTATAGGTACTCGACAATCGCGAAAGTCGGAAGATTGGATTCCGCCGTTGTGATTGGTTGGAAGGCGATAAAGTCGAACAGAACCAATTCATCAATATTCAAATTGATTTAAATTTATTGTACATTGTCACGCTTAGTGTTTGTAAAAAATCCTATCTACGACAAACAAGAGAATGTGTTTTAACTCACCACTTCGCGTAGTCATATTTGGTCATTATTAAAAAGCAACCCACGTCCTACAAATATCTATCACATAAATAGTGAGGAAAATCGCGCGCGAGTGACAATATATGGGACAGGGACGCATAGACCACACATCGTCATATGGTCTGTTAATCTGCGAACTGTCACAGCGGCGCTGGGTTGCTGCCATCTCTTAATCTATTTTGCTCAATACTGATTACTGTACGCTGTGGATTTTTTCCTAGTTATCTTTGTAAATGCGATAACACGAAGAACAACGTATTCGGATCCAGCCTCTTCTGCTACATCCCATATCTTAATCTATCCAAATGGATATCGATGTCTACGAGATATTGCGTCGAAATGGACATTTTGAGATGCTTGTATCGTATTGGCCACTTGTCGACAAACCCCTGATACCGACATGTCGAAATAGGGCAAAACGGAAGAAAAAACGTTATGGCCGTATGCACACCAAATAAATACTTACTGTTTGCCCCGTCCCTTATTATATAACACTCCATTGCCTTCTCTACCGGCCGACGTATACATGCATCCTGTTTTACCGTGTATTTGCTTCAGCCGGCGACTTTGAAGTCATATGGCAATTAAGTCGCGATTGGCTAAATAACGACTTCGCGGTATGAGTAAATCGCAACGGTTGTTTTGTAATACTGGTACTTTATCGGCTGTTTCATGTCTCACACCTTATAAACGTAATGATAAGGCAGAGATAAAGACTTTTCGGTAGGAAAATAAAGAAAACCACCTCCGAAAACTAACCCAAACCCCAAAACAAGAAGGCAGGTTTGTACGTATAAGTCGTATTGTAATAATTCCACAGATAATCAGAAAACAAGCACTATAGTAACAAATAATTGCAAGAAAATAACTGACAAGGTGATTAATGTCTCCCTGGTGCTTTCGGTTTTTTAATTAAAAATATGGAAAAGTAAGGAAGTGCTATGAACAATAGTATCTGCCACCGAAATTTTCAGTATTTACAAGGTGTCTCCACGTATACATATCGACGTCGACATCTGTTCGCCCTTTATCCGCGCGAGTGGATAATAGTTTACTACAACTGCAGCATCGATTAACCAAACACCTGACTCAACGCCGTGAAAGCAGTTAACACTAGATCTTGGGCGCAACTAGGTTTGGTGAACGTGCGTTTTAACGTGAAGTTATACGCCATGTGACAATCTGGGGACAAGCAAATCCTCCTCTGGATATTTCCCCGACGTTAACAATGACAAGTAAGGAAACAACCGAATGTGCTAATTATTCTGGAGTTTCATAACCAGATTCCCAGCTTACCTGACTAGCTGGTAGTGGACCGTCTTTTTGTCAGCCAGATAACGCCCACACTGGCTGAAGTATTGTCGTCAATTATGTTGTATTAGAGATGTGTGTTCTCTTCGTCGTGACTTCCACTGCTTTCGTAAATGTCCCCATCGGTAACCTCTGGTTCTCTGCTAAGCAAGGCGTGTAAGGCATTTTTATCTGGGAATCTTTATGGATGTTAATAAACCCTATGGGAACTTTCCCCTCTCTCTCACAAAATGCACCGGATTCAATTGCGTGACCTGTATGACGAACGACCGTAAATTGACACTGTATAATTAATGCTTAAGGTAACTTATTCCCGCTATCAAATAGGAAAGCGGGCAACTTACTGGCTAAATTCGCTTACTTTTGAGAAAAACCCTTTCGTTTCACGCTTCTTTAATGCTGCCGAGCAATATAACTTTGCACTTTTTGTTCTAGAAATTTCCTGCTCTTGGTAGCGGTTTGCTGTGACTATTAAACTAGGTCGTTACGTCCATCTGTAGGTTGCATATCTAACAATGTTACTGTAGATTTTTGCAGCACATTGATATGCGTATCTTAAATGTTAGCCCTGAATTGTCACACAACCTCTGCGTATTGGAAAGGAGAGAAGAGAGAGTGCGGACAACACTGGAGAATCTGTCACGGCAAATTAATGGACTCTTGACGGTAAATCTGACGCGCCTGTACCTACTGTGGCACGCAGTGTCGCGGTTAAGAGGCTGCCGACTGACGTGATAACTCGGTCCTCATGGCAGTCGGCTTGCGTAACTTCAGGACTAAGAGTCAGACTACAGTGAATTCTTCATATGGCCTCGATAGCACTCACTAATGTGGGACCCAATCTGCTCCGGCATACGTATTGCGGACTAGATCGTGTGTGAAACTCATAGATGGGTGCTTAACCTTTTCAGACACTGCGCGCGTGTCGACCTCAGGTCGTTTTGACATTGTCTTGCCGTCGAACTAAGGTTGGTGGAAGAGTAGAGTTCGATTGGTCTCGCTATAAACTAATTCACGCGCAATTCATCCGATCTGTACCCACTTTGTGGGCCACGGGGTGAACATCATACTTTTACCTGGTACGGCTACGATAATGCCTGGTCTAGCCGGCCTCCTTGATGACTCGGACTGTACCTCTCCACGCCTGATGATCCGCGGTAACAGATCTGGACAGTTCAGCTCACTCTCGTCGACAACGACGGAGGTCGAATACCGAAGGTCCAAAAACCATCTCCATGTCTCGACGGACTGTGTCGAGTCTATTTTTTAGTTGACCCCATTTTCGGCGCCTGCAATGGAGTAACGGTGCCGGATCGAGGGCATTATAGCTGACCTCCTGAGGTGGACGACAACGACCAAGCCCAAAGCACATTAGTCATCTTGAATTGCCTGAGGTAATCTTGAGATGTTGTCGCAGCGAGTGCAGACCGTCATTCTAGACGAAGTCGGTGTACTTCACTCGAACGATGGTTCTTAAGCATTGGCAATCAGAAAGCTCCAGTTTTCACTCGTCCATCTCACGCACAGCCCAGCATTCACAAACATAAAGAAGGACGGACCGGGCAGATTCACGGTACACGCGAATCTTAATGGCGATGGAGAGGTCACGTCGGTTCCACAGGCATTTCCGATGGCTTGAAAAAACCCAGTGGGCGGCATCGATTCCGGAGACAATGTCGTCCT